ACGAAAACCTTAATAAACTATTAGATTTCGACGTAAGGCAACCTTTCTGAGTCAAATAGTTGCCGAATTCGATAAAATCTTAGTCAGAATCTGCTTTTTCGCCTCTTATTGTACCCAAATCTACCTTAGAAATGCAGATATATACTTAAAACACCTTCTTTTGGGACAAATAATTGGTTTTCGCCCTTGATTTACGGAAGATTATAGCCAAAACATGCATTTTCATAACTTAGCGAGTAGTTATTCTAACGCGGGACTGTGACGATTCAAGGTCACCGATGGCATTTTCCATCAGCAGTGTACCAAAGCCAGTTCTTCGTAAGGGGGGTCATGTAAAAGAAGTAAAGGTCACGCCGAAGAAGTGGAAACTGTCACCATTAGGGTGTAGACAGGTGTACGGGGACCCCTGGGGGTGGGTAAGGTAATTACGCCTGTGTCGAGGTGTGACGTCATAGTGCCTTTTTGGCGCCTCCCCTTGGGGAAAAAGTGGTGTCACTGATTAAAAAACATTTTATGACGTCATAGTCGCTAGTGCCTTTTTGGCAATTGCACACCGGTAAAAAATGGGGTTCGTAGAAAAAATAAATTTCGTAGTGCCTTTTCGACACTACGGGGGGTGTGGGGGTGCGGGGGTGAGAAATTTTTGAGAGCCGAAAAAAGCGACCGCCGCCGCCGCCGCCGATGTCTCGCGCGGGCGGGATTCGAACCGCGAACCTTCGGAGATAAACGCCGCCGCCGACGCGCGCGCTGTTCCCCTAGCGTAACTGGGTCGGCACGTTATCGCGTCGTCGTCGTGTATGCGCGCTGGTCGATATAATTAAATAAGTGTGCACCGATAAAATTGATGATTTATTTAAGACATTTACATTGATAAGTTTGAATAGAAAACAAATTAATATCTAAAAAGTTTGTCGAGGTGAATACAATTAAATAAATGTGCACCGATAAAATTGATGATTTATTGAAAACATTTACAAAGTATTGACATCCGATATAAATTTGCTAAACACCACAACGTATTTCTTCTTCTTCTTCTTCTATAGGGTATGTTCTAAATCCTTGTTTTTTTGGCCGCTGGTGGTGACGACGACGACGACGACGACGACGACGATGATGGAATAACTTCGTCGCAATATAAACTTATATTGTTCGAACGATTTGTTGATTGCGAACAATATTTTATATTACATATTGGATGATTTTTAATGGATTCTTCACAAAAGCAAAAAGATTTGTTACAGCTATAACAGTACTTGGTACCGTTATAGTAGTAGACTTTGGAGTTTTCCGAAACATCTTGTTTCACTTTTTTTTCGGTTGTTGTTGTTACGTAACGGTCACTATTCATGGCTGCTGCTGCTTCGTACTTGACTAAACACTTTAACGCAAATTTTCAGTGACTCGACGTTAGAATGCTGTGAAAAAAAATTGTATTAAATTATGACTACAGAAAACAAATAGGTTCTTATCTTTTAATAATGTCTTATTTAAAATTGTTGAGTTTTGCTGCTTATGAAATTGAATTAATTAAAACAAAAATGATAAAACAAGTGAGTTTTTGCTGCTTATGAAATTGTATTAATTAAAACAAGTGAATATTTTTTTAACATAAAATTTAATTTGTTTTATATCCCCAAGGCAATGTATCAGTAAATATATAATTAACCACTCTCTTATCATCGAACGGTGTTAAAACAATTTTCCTTTGGTTTACCGTAAAAACTTCATGGTTTTTACTACGAAACAGATGTTCGTTGGTATACATTTGAGTTTTATCAAACAGACAATTATAATAGTCTTCAAAAGTGATTGTTTTTAATGACGAACCGGTAATACCTTTGGCTTTTTTAATAGTTTCGACTTCTTTTTTGTTAGAAGATTTTTCTCGTTCTACATTTGAATAATATAATTTGATCGCGTACATTTTAGATTTTAATCCGATAAATTCGTGCATAATTCTACCGTTGTTTTCGTCTTTCATCAATCCCAAAACTTTTTTATTAGTCAAAGGAATATTATAAATGTTATCGGGAGGATAATCAGAAGTGTCAAATTTATGAATATCTTCTCGAATACATTTATAAATATCGTCAACGTAAAAATTATATATTAACGAATCTGTATCTGAATACAAGAGTTTTACATCCTTGCCGAATTTTGGTATAATATAATGATAATGAAAATCGTATAAAAATGTTTTTGAAATTTCTAAAATACTAAAACCAGCGTAAATGGGTTTATTAAATTTAATATTCAATCTCTTCATTTCAATGATAACCATGTCATTGTCGAAAATTGTTAAGCTATGAAAATTTGGTTTTGAAATATAACTCTTTGCACCGTATCGTCCCGACCAACTTGTTACCAGTTTAACGTCTTTATATTTCCGAACGTTTTCCATAGTCTTGCCGAAAACGGCATTATTCATTAATTTAAAAAAATTTTTTTCGAATTCGTTTTTGCTTTGCTGCCTCAAGTGTGTGTTTAGGTCAATGTAGGTTTTCAACCACGGAGATTGGTTAAATTGTAATATTTTATGAATTTTTGTAACACGTAAACCTAACTGAAGAGCCTGTTTGAGATTTTTATAATGTATTACGTAGTTTTTTTTTATCAAACAATGTTGTCAATAATTTCGGCTGTTTTGTTTGACCCGTTGGTGGAATCAAACGTTCCGGACATAGAGGTAGATCTTTGTGGATATCGTGAAGTATTGTAGGATATTCTATATCTACTTCAAGAAGATACCCAACGTCAGAATCGTCCGACGTGTTTATGATAGAATAAAATGCGTTATTATCGATCCATTGGAACCCACCCGTCGGTAGTGGTAGTCTCATTGCCGTTCCATATAGGTTATTTACATCGAAATACATTAAATATGATGAAGGAATGTCTGGATTATAATCGTTTTCCATGTATTTATTGTTAGCCTTACCGTATCGGTTACTGCATTGTGAAATTCCACCGCGTATTCCTTTTTCGATCATCATTAATTGATCGATGTCCGTAATTAATTCTAGTTGAACATTTGAAATGAGAAGACATGCATCGTATGCCAGACCCGGTGCCGTGTAATATTTCAAACATTCCAAGCCATACGTTTTTTGACATACATTTCTGAAATTTTCGAAAACGTCCGTCAATAATAGTACGTCTGTTTTCAAATACAATTCCATATATTCGCGTAAATTTTGAATTTTGAATTTTGTCCAAATATTTTTGGCATGCTCGTAATCTTTTATCGTAATACCGGATTTTCTAAGTTTACTATAGAAATTTTCAATCGGGGGCAATTCGACGTCGTTCAATTTTTCCCAATCATCTAGATATTCATACGGAAAGACTCCCTTTTTCTGTAACAACTGAAATTCTTCGAGATTTTCGCAAAAGCTTCTAGTAATGTTTTTTTCGCTAGGGTCTAAATAAGAACTTAACTTATCCAAACTACTAGCCATAAATCTGAATGAATCTAAAAATCGAAAATTAACGCTCGTGTTTTCGATATATTTTGTAAACGATATATATTTTTCTTTGTTACGAGGTAGTAATATTACCGAACCGGGAATTTCAGTTGCCAAGTTTTTAATAAAAAAGTGTAGATCGTATCCTAAGTTATGAAATACCACGGGTATCATATGATCGTCCTTGTAATTAAGATTGCAAGAAGAATGAGCAACTCCTCGATATTTTCCCGTGAAATGACAATGATCTTTTACTCTTAAATCATTTTCGGTAAATGGTTTTGAACAAATGTGACATGTGGTTGATGTATAAAATGATTCTTTTTCATGTTCAGTCAAAGGTGTCATTGAAACAGCATTCTTAAATATAGGATTTAATTGTAGGGCCAGTTCTTGTAATTGTCGACAAAACCAGCTCATACAATCTTTACCCGTATACAAGTTAAATTTGGAAAGATTATTATCGTAACTGCACAACAGATAATAAGAAATACTACAAGGAATATGTTTTTGATATTTTTTAATGTTTCCCGTCGCAGCGGAATCTTCGTATTTTTGTAAAATACACTCGATATCCGCGTAAATAACAAACGGTACTTTTTCTTTATTTTTAAAATGCGAAAATGTTACGTGTTTCTCTTGTTTAGTTGGGAGCGTAATTTTGGTTTTATTTAATTTTCTGCAACTAAATATGTGTTTATTTAAAGTTTGTTGTGAATAAAAATGATTTAAGCACCTATCGCAATAAAATCTGCTATGAGTCGAATCTCCGCTTTGTTTCGATAATAACCGTGATAAACTTCTAATTAATGCGAAATGAAAAACTGTCTCAAAATTGTTAATGTGATTAGAGAGATTATTGTTGTCGACGTCGTCGTCGTCGTCGTCGTCGTCGTCGTAATCATTGGTTATATCGGTGGGAAGCATCAATAAATTAACCGTTCTTAAATAAGAGAATTGACTTAAACACGCCGGTACAATATCCCGCTTTTCTAATGAGAAAACGTTTATGGAAATATTATTCATTTCTTCAAACTTTTTTATGTCTTTTAATTTGATTGGAAATTCAATGCCATCGTATTTTAAAACTTCACTGAAATGAGGATATGAATAGGTAATACGCGGATTTTGATTTGTACGACAAGGATGTAGCGCGGCAACGATAGACCAAAGAAAACAATATTCATCGTTATTTTGAATATTAAGAACAGCTTTTTTATTAATAATAAATTTTGGCATCGATACATAAGTTGAAAGACCGATATTTGTCGGTGTATAATTATTAATGTTAACTTTTAATTGTAGAATCCGGTGAAGAGCCCAACCAGAATCCCTCTCTTGAAAATCCTCTAATTTTGTTAATATATTATTTTTAATATAATTACTATAAAATTCTTTCAAATCGGTATTATGATCGATGACGCGATTTTTGGTGGAAAAATGTTTTACATCGGTTTCGGCTGTTTGTGGTTTTACAAAATCTGCAAGAAATATTACGTTAACTTTAATTAGGGACTAACGAAGGGCTTTTTTTATTTGACAAGAGAATGATCTAAACGCCTTGCTAAAAAATATTATAGGATCTTTAATATCTAAATTAACTATTGCTCCCGTTTTAATACGATTTTTAAAGCAAGACTCGTTATCAACCCAAATTAATTTTGCATTATTTTTTTTAACTGTTTTATGATGTTTGAATTGTTCTTTAAAATTTTTTAAAAGACTTAAATTTGATTCTATTTTTGCCACCGCTTTTCTGTCTGTCGACGATGACGATACACTTTTTAAATATTTTTTCAAAATTAAATTGTTTCTGTTCAGAAATTTTATCCACTTGCAATATTCATGTTTTGTTTTAATTAACTCACCAACTTCTTTAATTTTCAGCAGCGTTTTTTCACTCAACTCACTGATTTCAGACATTTTTACTTATACGCAGCAGACTTTTTTGTCTATTCTAATAGACGCGTATGTGATAAATAATATCACTTTGTAGAATTTTACCGCTTTTATCGGATAGCGGGGTTAGGGTCAAAACTATTATGTTTTGCGCAATTGATAAATATAACGTAATCGCTTTTAATATTATGAATGCACTGTGTTATTATCGTGCTGACGAAGTGGAAATTTTAGGATAGATAATAATTAAAAAAAATAAATGCATATAAATATATCGAACTCTACGACAAGGAATCATTGTACACAACGACTATGGACACTCCGTCAACATTAATTTTTGAGTCAACGGATCCCGCCAGACTTTCCAACAAGATGCTGGCGGTATTTTTAAAAAATTTATTCAGGTAAGTCTGTCACCTTCATTGTTTTGTTTTCCATAATTTACTAAAAATCTATCAAATTATCATAGGTATGGGAGGAAAGAAGTGAAGATTGTGAACAAGAGAGTTCACTTGTATTTGAAATATTCACCGAAGAATGAAACGGTTCAGGGAAAATTAAAAAATCTTCCCGTCCGATACCTGAGAGTGGCGGCCGATGACGAGGAAGAATTACAATTGTTATTGAAGGGGATGCGTGAATTCTCGGACGTCAATTTTTATGCGGCTGCCATAGAGGAGGACGAACCGGTACCGGCTAAAAAATTCAAGCCGGCTTCGGAAGAAAAGAAAATAAAAATTCTGGAAAACAGAATTTTAAAATCAGCCACCACTACGACGATGACGACGACTACCACCACTCCCAGTACCAGCAAAGTTGAAGATTTTTGCTTCGTTTTAGACGACGACGCGGACGAGTTTGAAAGTCAAAAATTTAGTGTAGTTAGTAAATAAAAATATTAAAAAATATTCGAGTTATAACTTGTTTAATTTTTTCCATCACATGATAAAAATAATATTAATTGTTCTTATGGTTAAAGTTAATAAAACAACAAGTTTACTACGTTCTCTTCATAATCTGAATCAATTTCATCTATAATTGATTGTTTCATTTCACTCGGTGAATCGTAATTACTAATAGGAGTCGAATTAAATGATAACTGTCTAGGCAATATTTTTCGTTTCTTTTGAATTACTGATAGCGGTAAAGTTTGTTCTTCTGCTGCGGCGGCGGCGGCGGGCTCCTCCACTTTTACGGGAGGATGATACTTTGGAGTAGTTTGTGTTACATCACTTACTAGAGTCGTCTTCGTCGTCGTGGTTGCTGGCGTTGTTGTTCTTGTTGAATTTTGCAAAGAAGACTCGATATTTCTCAATCGTTTTGTAATAGGCTTAAACATTGTCTCTTGCATCATTTCACCACGTTTAATTCTTCAAGTTTTTTTCTTATATCCTTACGTTTAGAAATTAATCGTTTTTAGTTAGTTAGTAAATAAAAATAATAAAAAAATATTCGAGTTATAACTTGTTTAATTTTTCCATCACATGATAAAAATCATTTTAATTGTTCTTATGGTTAAAGTTAATAAAACAACAAGTTCATTTTTTAAGATAATTTTTATTAATATACCAATTTCTCAGCAATAGTACATTTTCTTTGGCACAATTAGAGAAATTATAAAAGTGATTATTACAATGAAAATTATACTGGTTATTTTCTTTTAAACTTTTAAAATTTGGACATCCAATGTCATGTAAATCGACAATATCAATATCATTGTAATAAAGCAGTGATTTTAAATAGTTTACCTTACAATTGCCTTTAACATAGATATAGTTATTTTGTACAATGTTTCTAATAAAACTAACTACACTTTCTTGAGGTAGACAGGTCTCATCTTCTTTTTCATCCCAGGATAGTCCGTGGACACGATTCGTGGTCTTCAAAAGATGGTTTCTAATTTCACCTGTGAACCAGTTATACGGACAAGGTGTTTTCACCATTCTATGAAACACTTTTCCACTGGACACGTTTATAATTGCGATTTCTCTAACGATATAATCGCTCTGTTTATACTGAAATCCTTGAACGTCGAGGATAAACATTTTTTAAATGTTCTACGAGCACTACTAATTTGCAACTGAATCTTCCTCAAACCTACGCAACATTATTTATATCTATCCAACTATTGTGTTTGTTATCAAACCCCAACCACTTTACAAACACTTTATCGCGTTTCCTTTTGAGAATTTTTTCAACTAGATAAACGTCTGGAAACTTCACTTTTTGCAATTGTTCTTTGTAAAATCCACCGAGAATATTTTGATTATTTTCATCTTTTAATAAATACGTAGTGGGATTGGTTAGTTGAACTTTATCTACCGTAAAAATTTCCGTTGACCAATTTGGTTGGTATTTTTTATCGAAAACCCCTCGCCTCTTCGATATTCGTACGCGATCGCCAATCTTAAATTTGGTATTAAGATTTGTCATTTTTATTCGATTAAACACCGTTTCTATTAGATTTTTTTCGTGCTTTTTTATAACATCGGCCGGTTTCATTTTAATTACGCTGTGATGTGTATTATTGTAGTTTCTAACAATTTTCGATAATATGTCGATCCATTTATAGTTTCCTCGTAGACTAAACTCTTTCCACATTATATTTTTTATGGTACGGTTCACTCTTTCCACTATAGCGGCCTTTTTCTCGCTAAATACATTATAATGATTGATATGATATTTTTTCATTAAATTTTGAAAGTCTTTGTTAAAAAATTCAGCTCCAGCGTCAGTTTGTAAATTTTTTGGTTTTTTGGTGGACTTTAAAATTGTTTCCATAGCTCTCGTCACTTCCGCTCCCGACTTATTTTTTACAGGTAGCGCCCAAACAAATTTAGAAAAACAATTTATTACAATTAGTATGTATTTGTATCCACGATTCTGTTTTGCGTACGGAATCATTTCGATAAGGTCAGCTTGAAACAGATCATATAAAGATTTAATTATAGTTTTTCTACGTTTAAAGTTTATACGAGCAGGTTTATGAAGTTCCTCGACAACTTGTCGCTTGGCATCCGTAATAAATTTCGACGGCTTCATTCTATAATATCGGCTTCGCGCAATTCTTCAATTAGCGAATTTATCTCATTTAAGTGACCCGTATGACCTGCAGACTGTGACGATACGAGTAGACGCAATCGATCGACTAATTCATTTGGATCGTCCCAATAAATGTAATCTTTTTTATTGGGTGTCACTTCCATTGTTGTCATTAAACCCTTTCCCCCAGTTGTTGTTGTTGGTGCAATAATATTTTTATATTTTTTCAGCTTACTTCCGTCAATTTGAGCATTGGGTTTATAATGTCTTTTGTGAGCGTTCGTTTTGTATACAATTTGTTTATAATTTTCCCTGTCTTGTTCGTTAAATAAACTATTGTTAGGATACTTTTTAAATAACAATTCGTATAAACCTTGAGTACCTCTGTACCGTTTTCCTTGAACATAAATATCTGATCCTTGAATATCTACTTGTGAGTTACCAATAAAAAATTTTTCAGTACTTTTATCCATTCTAACGCCATACTTGTGATCAAACTCTCTATTTTCGGTATCTTCGTACATTTCTCGAATATATTTCCGTGGTAATGGATCGTATTGATCCAAATATTCAATAAAAGACACTGGTCCGATATCTTCAAATCGACTAGTAGATTCCTTGTCTACGTTTACTACGTTGTCTTCATAATCTGAATCAATTTCATCTATAATTGATTGTTTCATTTCACTCGGTGAATCGTAATTACTAATAGGAGTCGAATTAAATGATAACTGTCTGGGCAATATTTTTCGTTTCTTTTGAATTACTGATAGTGGTAAAGTTTGTTCTTCTGCTGTGGCGGCGGCTGCTGCTGCTGCGGCGGAGGCGGGCTCCTCCACTTTTACGGGAAGATGATACTTTGGAGTAGTTTGTGTTACATCACTTACTAGAGTCGTCTTCGTCGTCGTGGTTGCTGGCGTTGTTGTTCTTGTTGAATTTTGCAAAGAAGACTCGATATTTTTCAATCGTTTTGTAATAGGCTTAAACATTGTCTCTTGCATCATTTCACCACGTTTTAATTCTTCAAGTTTTTTTCTTATATCCTTACGTTTAGAAATTAATCGTTTTTTCAAAACTTTATCATTTTGTTGACTGATCATAGCGCTCGATATCACCGTCTATAGCAAGTTACGTTCTGAATGTAGAACCACTAGTGAATAACCTTTATAGGAACAGCTCTCTCTGATCAGGCGTAAACAACTTTTGATCGGGGACCTAAACAGCTCCTGAACAGGTCTAAAACAGCTCTTGATCAGGTCTAAACAGCTTCTGAACAGGTCTGAACAGCTCCTGAACAGGTCGAAACAGCTTCCGCCGCCGCCGCCGCGACAGGACGATTAGAAATGTATGAAGCAATCAAATGTTTTCCTATATCGACCTCCTTGATTAATATCGCAGTCTTTAAATACAGTTAGGAAACTAAACGCTTCGTTCCAGCATAAAGCACACATTTCTTTAAAACGTTCAAAAGTCATATCGGTACCGATATGATCGTTGTATATGTGTTTCAAATTTAAATCGTCTTGTTTGAAAATTACGAGACAATTAGCATTGTCTCTTATAAGATGTTTAGGTATTTTAGCATACGTTTGACATAAATAAAACGAATCAATTTTATTATGTCGTCCCATACTAAAGTATTCGCGTATGACATCTTGGTTGTCGCACGCTACATCGTCGAAAATGAAAATACTGTTCGGTTTAGCCTCCGACGGATGCATAATGCTTTCACCGGCGTTAAATGTAAAATAACGAATACCTTTTATTTATTTCAGCAGTTGATCCAGGTAAATATATTTTGGTTGGTTCAAAGATCGCGAATAAATGTATACGTTTTCAAATTTTACACCGTTCTCCTGTTCGATTAAATTAATCATCACGTTAGTTTTACCGCAATTCGAAGGACCCACGATAATACATCTTATTGTTGCGGGAAACAATTTACCATGCCTCTTGTAAGATTTTTCGTGAAACGTATTATTTTCAATATCTAATGTAGTACTTTGTTTAATAAGTTTCATAATGTGATTGTTTTCTAAAACACCGTACTATTCATAATGATATAAAATAGATGACTTACAAACTTTTTATATTAGTTTGTACTAACAAAACGAACACACACGATCGTCAGCATGAAATGTTACGCATCAGGTAACGGTTTATTAAATACGGTAATCAACAAATTGCCTTTTGAAATGCATATTCCGGGGTATAATTGGTGCGGCCCCGGTACAAAAGTTGAAAAACGTCTCGCTAAAAACGATTCCGGCATAAACGGTTTTTACAATGCATGCAAACAACACGATATCGCCTATTCAACGGAAAGTGATTTAAACAAACGTCACGAGGCAGATAAAGTATTAGCTTCCAAGGCTTTAGCGAGATTTAAAGCTAAAAATTCCGGGTGGAAGGAGAAAATTGCCGCTTTAGGAGTAACGGCGGCAATGAAAACAAAATTAAAACTCGGAATGGGCATTCCAAATACAGACCGCGGCGGTGGTGGTTACTATTACCGTTCCAGGAGATTAATTCAAACTTGTTTAAAAAAACTACAAAAAACTAAAAAAAGTTTATACGAAATTGAGGATTCTTTAGCCAAGATGATAAATCAGAAAGAGAAAAAGAATATTTGCAGCCAAAAGAAGAAAAAGAAGACACAGCAGCGAAAAGAAAACAACAAATCGAAACCACAGACATATGAAGATAAGAAAGATTTTGATATCGCAGACGATTATCCATTAGATAGAGTTCGACCTAAAAGCATTCTAAATGATGATGAAGATAATGAAATTTCAAAAAAGAAACCTCGTATCGTATTAGTTCATAATCGGAAAAGAAAAGCTGCCACGATTGATAGAAATGAAATAAAAAGGACAAAAAGATTAAACGTAGAAGATAATGAGAAAAACATAGAAATGGATGATTCTATCAAAAATATCGAATATTGATAATAGAAAATGAAAATTAAAAGTAAGTATACACACCACCTAAAAACTTCAAATTATAAATAGTGAATAAAGATGGAAAACACTTTCAGTACTAATTAGAAGTTGTAATCGGTACAATGGTCAGAAGAAAAAACACTAATCCAAGAAAACGTAAAACAAGTGCGATACAACGACGACGGCGACGAGAGAAAAAAATTGGCTTTACAAATGCTACTAAACGAATTAAAAAACACGTTATTAAACAAAAACCTAGTACTTATGGTGATGCAATTCGTGTCGCATTAAAGGCGGCTCAGAGTTTAAAAAATAAAATCAAACCTAATCGTATCGTACCGATACCAAAAACGGGTGGTGTTTTACCGCTCATTCCGATATTTGCTGGACTTTCGGCGCTCGGTGCTCTTTCCGGTGGAGCTGCGGGTATCGCGAAAGCTGTAAACGATGCGAAATCGGCAACGAAACAATTGCAAGAATCGCAACGCCACAACAAAACCATGGAAGCTATCGCAATGGGTAAAGGCATATACTTAAAACCGTATAAAACAGGAATGGGACTTTTTCTTAAGCCATATAACCGTTAACAAATAAATAGTAAACTTAGTACCGGCGTCGCAATTGCAGTACAAATTAATAAAATGAATAAGAAGCAAATACCTAACGATTATCCGTTAACGAATATTCAGTTGGAAAAGTATGCTAAAAAGTTGTTGAAAATACCTTGGTTTAGGGGTGTTTTTATGCGAGATAATCTGCCCAGAAAAATAAGAAAAAATGAACGAGGTATAATCAACTTGGACAGTAGAAGCGGAACCGGAACCCACTGGACATGTTACAAAAAACAGGGACCTAATATCATGTATTTTGACAGTTATGGAAATCTACCTCCGCCACTGGAAGCATTGACATATTTCAATTCGAATGGACCGTGCAATATACGATACAATTACGATGTTTATCAAAAATTTAATACCGTGAATTGTGGTCAGCTATGTTTACATTTTCTTTCCGAATAAATTATTTATTATTAGCAAACTGTTATTCATTAATCCGATAACCTTTGTACAGATCGGTCGGTATGTATACGTTTACATTATCTGGTAAAGACTCGATACTTTCGACTAAAATATATCCTCCCATAGTTTTGGACGATTCAAAAAGTTATGCGATCGGATTGATCGACTTTGTTACTTTCAACACAATTCCCAATGTAGACAATTCCAACAATAAATTTTATATCGGAAGTCAAGTTATTGAAGTACCCGAAGGTAGTTATGAAATTAACGACATTGAAAAGTTTATAATGGAGAAGATTACGGAGAAAAACGAAACATTGAAAAAAGAAAAACAAAATAAACAACAAAAAACAAATGTGATTGAAAAGGAATTGTCGATGAATGACGAAATCGTTTTATTTATGAGGGCCAATCTTAATACACTAAAATACGAAATCAAATCCAACGAGATGATACATTTTGAAAAAGGTGATTCGATTGCAAAATTGTTGGGATTCAAAAATAGAAAACTGTCTGCCAATCAATTACACATATCCGAATTTCCGATAAATATTTCGAAAGTAAATTCTGTTTGTGTAGAATGTAATTTGATAAAGAATTCTTATAATAATAATAACTCAGTACATATACTACACATGTTTTATCCTAGTGTGCCGAGCGGATTTCGTATAATCGAAAAAGTGTCAAATGTTATATATTTACCTATAAATTCTAATTACATTGACGAAATAATCCTTAAAATAGTGGATCAAGACGGTAATTTGATTAATTTTCAAAGAGAAACGATAACAGTAAGAATACATTTAAAGGAAGTGGTGTCATAAAAAATGGTGCTCCTCTATAACCTCAACATTCCAAATGGCGTTTTCACGTCGTCGAATATAAAAGAAAATACGGATCTACATAGAGTTAATCATAGTCGATCGTTGAAACCGTTAACAGTCGAAAATTCCGAATTTCTTCGCTATCTGGGATTAACATTGAAGGGAAAAAACAAAAAGAAAAACGGCGTGTAAATTC